TTTTTTTTTTTTTTTTTTTTTTTTTTTCCATACTGGGGATTAAACTCGGGCTCTTGCACTTGTGAGGCAGGTGGTAGAACCACTGAGCTAAATCCCTGGCCCTGAAACAGTATTTCTCAAAAAACATACAATTGGATTTTCCCATTCTTCAGCCTGTCGCTGCAACACTTAGCAAACATCTCCCCCCGAGGTAGGCTAGGGAGCCTGACAGAAAAGGTGCATTAGGACAGGCCATGCCCTTAAGAAAACAGTTCCAGGAGAGAGGATGCAGGCTCAGCTGGCCGCCCGACAGAGAGGGAGAAGCCTGGGTCTCTGTCTCCATACAGAGCACTCACTCTGGCTGTGGTTGTAAAATTGCAAATCGTAGGGTTCAGTGGGAACAGTCAAGAGTCTAGAGGGGAGGTTCCCGAGTCTACCCATTGGCCCCGCTCTGCTCTCCACTGTGTGATTCAGTGTCCCCTGTGGCTCTGGGCTGAGCGGACTGGCTAGAGAGAGGAAGGAGCCACAGGCAGGACATGCTGAGGTCTGCGAGCTCGCAGGCCATGTTCACATCCACTGAGCACTTCTGCTGTTCACTCTCCTCCGCCCTCCGCTCACACAGGGGGACCAGGCGCTGCTGTCCTTCACAGCCGTCTGCCAGGATGATGGCACATGGCACCGAGCCATGCCCAGGTGCAAGAGTAAGTCATGGCTCCGGGATGTGTCTGCCCCGAGCCGCCAAGCCCCCCTCCTCCAGGACCTGGACCGAGAAGAAAAGAGGGGCCCAAGCTGAGCTCTCCCCGAGACCCTCCCGGGCTTGTCCCTTTTCCAGGACTGCTGGGCTCCCCCAGAACCGAACTTTACTCCATCCAGCTCCCTTGATCACAAGTGCCGTCCTCACTGACCCACTTCCTCTAAGGTCTGCAGACGGTTCTGCAGACAGATGACATGCGCCCATTACACACACACACACACACACCCGTGCACACACGCACTCACGCACATGCACACTCGCCATCATTCCCAGCTTATCCCACCTGGTATTCTCTCCAAGTCAGGGACTGTGGGCAGCCCCGGAGCCTGCCTAACGGGAACTTCCAGTACCTCACCACCGAGGGAGTGAACATCTACGAGTCCCGCATCCAGTACAGCTGCCGGGAGCCGTACTACAAGATGAAGACCCGGGCCGGCAGCGGCAAGACCGAGCGAGGTAGGGCCCGGCGCCCGCAGCAGTCCTCCCCTTTCCACCTTCCCGGGGCATCCTCTCATATCCTCCCAGTAAAATCCTTTACACTAAGTACGTGCCCAGAGCCCTGGCTTCCAGGGCCTAAATCACAGCACCGAGGGGAATCAAGTAGGCTTGAAGAAGGAAGCACCTGACAGCCTCACAGCCTCAGTGCTTTCACTGCTGCCCATAATAAACCCTCCTCACCCCCAGTCCTAGCACAGTACCTTTGCCAGTGCTGATGCCACCTCCAGCACCACCACAGTTATCGAGAAATGGTCACCATCACCACCACAGGGCACACTCACTGCCTACACTCCCATCCCACCAACACCACCGCCATCCTTGAACCAGCTCCGGAGAGTCGTTCCCTGCCACTCTCCCCTCTCAGGCTGGCACGTGGTGACATTTTTGTATTTAGATTTATTTAGTTACTCTCCAACCATCTGTGGATCTCTTTGACAGTTTCAAAGAAAAATGGAAATGTCGCCTGTGTGAGTCTCTGAGTCAATTCTCAGTACTGGAAACTTGTGTGTGCCGGCCATGGTGGCAAACATTTGTACTCCCAATACTTGGGAGGCTGAGGCAGGAGGATTACCAAGAGTTAGAGGCCAGCCTGAGCTGTGAATTCAAGGCCAGCCCAGAATACACAGCAATCCTGTCTCAAAAAACCATGTTTAAGACAAGTACAAATCCGGAGTTGTATATGATGCATATTTAGAGCTGGGCTTTAGAGTCAGAAACCCTCACTTTTAATCTTGATTCCGGTGCTAGAAGTTCTGCAACATACAAATTTTTCCCCCAGCACTGGGGAATGAACCCAGAGCCTTCACACTGAACCCCACCCACAGCCCTTCTTATTTATTGAGACAAGGTCTGACTAAATCCCCAGGTGGTACTCAAACTTATGATCCTCCTGCCTCAGCCTCCCAGAGTGCTGGAATCACAGGTGTACACCACCGTGCCCAGCTCTTGGTGCAAATTATTTAAGCTCCGATTCCTCATCTATAAAATGAGGATAACACACACCCCAAAGTGTCACCGTGGTGCTTAATGAAACAATGCAGATAAAGTACCTAAGGAACAAGCACGACACTCTGACAGCAGTCACAAAATGTAGCCACAGTTCCACTGCCAAGGTGTAATCATTGATAAGATTCAAGAGTAGGATACATTCCTGCTGGTGTTTATTTCTGTTTTCTCAAATAGGCCTATCTCAAACATACAGTTAAGTGTTCTGATTTTTTTAACTTGACATTAAAACAAAAATATACGGATGGATCCTCGCGGCACTTTCGATACTAATCCACACCGCTTTGAACCGGTGAACTTTGATCCCTGTCCTCCCCGCTTCCATGACCCCTGTCCCCCGTCCGTCCAGCCGCTGGGCGCACTCGGCCTCTGCCCTGCGCTCTCGCGTCGCCCCTCTGACCGTGGGCCTCTCTCACAGGGCTGTTCACCTGCACCGCCCAGGGCATCTGGAAGAACGGGCAGGAGGGGGAGAAGGTCCCGCGGTGTCTGCCAGGTGAGCGGGGCCCCCTGGGCCAGTCTCAGGTCCTAGGAGACAAGAGCAGAGCAGAAAAGGAGGTAGGCGCCCAGGGGAAAAGGAGAGAGGCGCGGGGCCACGGACTTGCCGGACTCGCAGGGAAGACAGGGAGTAAAAACAGCGAGAGAAATGCCAGGGGGAAATAAACCAGAAGGAGGGAGGAAGCCAACGACCGGCCAACAGGTGTGGGGATGGAGGAGAAAAAAGAGCAAGAACCAGAGAGGAGGACGGAGGGCAGCGGGCGGCGGGCTGACCCCTTCGTCCCTCCGCAGTGTGCGGGAAGCCCGAGCACCCGGTGAAGCAGAAGCAGCGCATCATCGGCGGGCAGGCGGCCGAGCCGGGCAACTTCCCTTGGCAGGCGTACACCTACCTCTACGGCCCGGGCGGCGGGGCCCTGCTGGGGGACCGCTGGATCCTCACCGCTGCCCACACCCTGCTCCCCAAGGACCACGGCACCCAGAGCAACAAGACCATGGAGGTGTTCCTGGGCCACACCCAGGTGTACGAGCTCCGGAAACTGTCCAACCACCCGGTGCGCAGCGTCCGCATCCACCCCGCCTACCGCCAGGACCAGTCCCACAACTTCGACGGCGACATCGCCCTGCTGGAGCTGGAGCACCCCGTCCCCCTGGGCCCGCAGCTCCTCCCCATCTGCCTCCCAGACAACGAGACCTTCTACGACCGCGGCCTCATGGGCTACGTCAGCGGCTTCGGGATCATGGAGGAGCGGATCTCCTTCAACCTCAGGTTCATCCGGCTGCCCGTGGCTGAGCGGGAGGCCTGCGAGCGCTGGCTGCAGAGCAGGCACCGGGACGAGGTCTTTTCTCCAAACATGTTCTGTGCCGGGGACCCGTTTGTCCGCCAGGACGCCTGCCAGGGGGACAGTGGGGGCGTCTACGCCGTGCGGGACTACACCAGCGACCGCTGGGTGGCCACGGGCATCGTGTCCTGGGGCATCGGGTGCGGCAACGGCTATGGCTTCTACACCAAGTTGCTCAACTACGTGGACTGGATCAAGAAAGAGATGGGAGAGGAGGCAGAGGAGGACTGAGGGTCAAAACCCGGTGTCGAAAAGCAAAGTCTCCCGCCCAGCGGATGACCACTAAGAACTCACTGAAATCACCGTGCGGAAGGACGCTGTGTGAAGTAAACTCTCTTTTCTATCCTCCGTCCACTTTGTCTACCCAAGAAGTGCCTTTCATTCCTGTGAGGGTCGCAGAGGATGTAGTTATCAACTCCAGTTCTCCTTTTCCTGTTCTGTGCTTACACCGTTGCAAATCTGAATAAGCCCCAAATAGATGTCATGAGATTACAGTATGTAAAATAAATCAAAATAGTACTGAATTAAGATAAAATATTTGATAAGGCCATGTCAAAATATTTACTTAGGCAGTAAGATCCGTTGGATCTATGCACACATTTACATCTCAGGCAAGGGTAACAGCTTATATCTATATTTGGTTTTAGTTGTAGCCTGTGAAGAAAATCCTGGTTCTCACACAAACATAGTTGCCTATAAACAGCTTTCTCAACAGCTCACCTTCCAATCTCTAAGTATCCCTTAAGGTATGATATTTTTGTCTTCAAGTTGAATCACTAACAATATTTTTAAATCCTTTGGAGTTTTAAAGATATAATGAATATTCAGAGGCGGGACCAAACCCTGGGAGTCTTTAAAACAGAACAGTGATCGTTTACCGCAGAAGGAGCTGCTGGAGAGCTATTCAGTTTTGCCTGATCCAACAGGTGAAGACCCGTGCCGAGCTAAACATTCCCAAGCAGTGAGTGTTTCTAAGTTCAAACTCGCCCTTCTGGGACACATACAAGTGCTTTTCTGTATTCAAGCCTGAACAGGTTTCAGAAATGTATTATGCGTGATGTCAGTCCCATAGCATCCCTGCAGGACCCAGGGAACCACCTTGTCTTAAAAACAGATGAGTGAGGGCCAGGGATTTGGCTCAGTGGTGCTGCACCTACCTCACAAGCATAAGGTCCTGAGTTTGATCCCAGGTAGAGAGGGGAAAAAAAAAAAAAGACAAGCGATTTTTTAAAAAAACATGTACATATTCACAGTAAATGAGATAATGTCTCTAAATGGCTACCCGTTGATTCTGGTCATATTTCACCACTGAATAAATCTTGGTGCCAATTCTAATAAAATTTTCACCCTTTAGAGTATTCAGGAGATCAAAATTGTGGATTTCAGGAAACGATAGAAGATTTTTTCTCATAGTCCACACAGCAGGGCACTCAAGCAGTGCATGATACATTTAAGAAGTAGAAGTTGAAAGACTGGGGATTCAGCTCAGTGGTTCCACTGCCTGCCTTGTAAGAGCAAGGTCCTGACTTCAATCTCCAGTACAAAAAAAGAAAAAGAAAAAAGAAAAAAAGAAGTAGAAGTTGACTGTCGGGCTTTTGTTATTATTTTTTAAATTTTATTTTATCTCATTCCCCTGAAGCCCCTCCATGTACAAAAGCTTTGCTTCCAACTTTTTCCTTCTATTTTCACTTTATTTCTTGTCCCTCCCTTCCTTTCTCCCTCCCTCCTCCCTTGTTCCCCTTCCCATTCGAACACTTTCTTCTCATTTCCCAACATCCATCTCAAACCTTATTTCCAGTTTCTGTTTCTCACACCAGAGAAACAATGCAGTACTTAAACATGAGTGTCTGATTTATTCCATGTCTGTTTTTGTTTCTGAACAGTGGAGATTAACCTAGGACCTCCAGCATGCTAGGTAAGCACTCTACCACTGGGTTACACCACCCCCAGCCCTTTTACTTTCGAGACGGGGCCTCACTAAATCACTAGGTTGCCCTGTCAGAACTCAAATTTGTAATCCTTTTGCCTCAGCCTCTCAGAGCACTGGGATTATAGCATGAGTGACCTCGTCCACCTCCTTATTTTTATTTTAATAATCAGAGATATCTCCAGGACAATCAAATGACAACCTCCGCACTTTGAGCTCCTGCTCCCTTCCTCCAAAGTTATATGTGTCTTATTCTTCAAGTGCACGGGAGTAGAAACATATGGACTACAAAACCGATGCTCTAGGATTAAATAGTTCACAGAAAAGAAAATACAATTTGGTTCAGAGCTTTGGAGCTTAACTTCACTCACAATAAGGAATGTATTTTAATGGATACCATCATTTTCCCTATAAAATTACATGGAAAGTTGCTCTCGTGTGTCTATTTTTAGAACTTGAATTGATACAAACAGTGGTGAGAGGTTGGGGAGAAAACTACCTGAGGATTGAGGAATAAAAACAGAGGCCTGTGAGACCCTTACAGGGAGAAATACTCTGCCACCAACAAATCCACCAGGGGGAATCCTCAGAGTCCACAGCACACTGGGAGAGAAGACAGCGGCCCTGCCTCAGAAACAACTCAGCAACTTAGTGAAGAATTTATGCCAAAATAAAAAAAAAATGGGATAGGTATAAAAATTTTAAAGCAGGAGACTGGGAATGTAGCTTAGTGATACTGTGCCTGTCTGGTCCTGAGTTTGAGTCCTGGTACCAGGGAGGAAAAACAGGCTGGAGATGAAGCTCAGTGTGAAGGCTCTGGGTTCTATCACCAGCACTGCAAGAAAAAAAGAAAAGAAAGAAAGAGGAACATTGAAAAAATAAGAGCCAGTACATGTAACAGGTTGCATTTGGTGACCCCAGCTGTGGAAAGAGTTCAGTTCATGAACGAGGTGCCTCTGTAATATGGGTGATGCGAATGTATCCCAGAGTCCATGTGCTGACTGCCCCTGGGATGATTAAGACCTTACTGTGGGGGTGGGTTAGTGACCGAGGGATCGAGCACCTGGCAGGAGGGTGCGCTGGCCTCACCCACCACATGATGCTCCCCCGTTTGGGTGTAGAGAAGCCCTTGAAGCTGTGGCCCCAGATCTTCAACGTGTCAGCACCCATAATCACAAGTCCCCCAAGAATTCTGTTCATTATAAATTACCTATGCTGTGGTATTTTGTAGCAGGATTAAAAGAACTAAGATTTAATGTAACAAAAAATACCAGCATTCAAGGCACAGAAGCCAGCTGGGCACGGTACGTGTCTATAGTCTCAGACACTCACAAGGCTGAGGCAGGAGAATTTCACATTCGACCCCAGCCTGGGAAACTTACCAAGACTCTGTCTCAAAATCAAAATACAAAAAGTCTGGGGTGTAGCACAGGTTTTTCTGGAATGTGTGAGGCCCTGGGTTCCATTCCCAGGACCACAAAGAAAATAAAATATGGAAACAGAGAAGTGCTATGGTTTTCAGAGGTCTAACACAGGGGACTTATGTTTTTAAAATCTCTCTCAGAGAGCCTCTGTGGAGCCTCCTGGACTGGCCCTTGCCCACCCTTGGTTCCAGGAGAAGACTGAATTCTTCCTCTTGGGGTTTCCAGTCCACTCAAGCCTGGTCACTCTCCTCCAGGGCTCTGGGGATATCTTAGACCCAGCAACAGCAGTGGTGACACCCGAAATTCACGTCCTTTAGTCCCCTTAGCATAGGAGGGAGATGCTGGGCCCTTCCAAGCTGTCTCAGCACAAATAAGAGAAGATGGAAAGGGAGGAGTGTGACTACACAGCAGAAGGAGGGGGTCTTTGTGGCAGTGGATCAGCTCTGCATGTGACTGCAGTGACAGGAAGCTCCAGTGTGGAAGGATGACAGAGAACTGTGTACACTCGTTGCACCAACAGGCAGCTCCCTGGTTCTGCTATTGCAGTATAGTTACCTGTGATGTCCAGCAAATTTGTATTCCAAAAGAAAGAGCGTTTTTGTTAAACCACCGTGAAAAATACATGGCAGAGTTTATGGATTTGACCAAGAGTACAGTTTCCTCCAATTTTTAAGTTTAGATATAGGGGTTTTTTTTGTTGTTGTTTTTGTTTGTACCAGGGATCAAACTCGGGTCCTTGCACTTGCAAGGCAGGTGGCAGAACCACTGAACTAAATCCTCGGCCCAATTTTTAATTTTAAAAATCAGAGCCCAGCCCAGGTAACTCAGTGACTTACCCAGGCCCTGACTCAAAAAATTTAAAAAGGACTGGGGGATATGGCTCAGTGCAAAGGTATTGGGTTCAATCCCTAGTATAAAAAATTAAAATTAAAATTAAAATAAATCAAAGCTAAAAAGAACAGGACAGATACATAGAAAAGATAGATGCTGTGATAGAATTTACTTCTGATATTAGGAATCTCACTCAGTAAAGGGCCTCCAAATCCTTTCCAGCCCCTCCTTGGCTGCTGCAGCAGCTACAGTGCTTTCCATGGAGTCCTTTGGACCCCACGGCACTAACTTTCCAACCGAGCTATGGATTGCTAAACCTGTTGCTGAAGGCCAAGTGCTGAGGTCTTGGAACCCAGCCCATGGCCCTCTTGGAAGGTGCTGGAGCTTAGGACGTGGGACCAAGCAGGAGGCAGCTAAGTCACAGGGACCTGCTCTTGAGACCTTGGCTCTTTCTTCTCTCTTCCTAGCTACCAGGAAGTGAGCGGGACACCCCACCATGCACTCCCCATCATAACACACCACCTTGCCATAGGCTCAAGGCAACCAGGCCTGCGGATCATGGGCTGGAAACTCAGACACTGTGGACAAAATCAACCTTTCTGCTTTTTAAGTTGGTTGTCTGAGGTGTTTTGTTCCAGTAATGGAAAGCTGACTAACATGATGATCTACGGTTCCACTTTCTTCTGACCAAAGAAACTGACAATTCACCTGCCTTAAAAAGGTTTCTTAGGCTGGGAGAGTGGTTCAATGGTGAAGTGCTTGCCTAACATGCTGAAGGCACAGCACCACAGAAAATAAATAAATAACATTTTCCAGCTGGGCATGGAATCCTAGCTACTTAAGAGACTGAGAGAGGGGGGCTGTGCGTTTGAGACAAGCCTGGGGAACTTAGCAAAACCCTTCTGAAAAGAGAAAAGTATTCAAGATATAGCTTATTTCAGCACTCCGGATCCAATACCTAGTACTACAATAAGCAAAAACAAATGTTTTCCTGAATTTCAGAGGAGATAGATGTACACTTCTCTCAAACAATCCTCAAGGTATTGTGTCTGGCACCTTTGTTATGGTCTAGACTTCAAATGTTGTCCAAAAGTCTCCTGTGTTCAGAAGCAGGGTGCTGGAGGGGGGTTAGATCCTGAGAACTTGTACTAATCAGTGGTTCATCCATTGGTGAACCTGTAGCTGGATATGTTATTAGAAGAGGGACCCTGATTGGAAAAGGTGGATCCCTGGATGTGTGATTTAGAAGGATATATTGTTTTGTTTTGGTTTTGGTTTGGTTTGGTTTGGTTTGTTTGGTTTGTTGGTTAGTTGGTTTTATGAGACAGGGTCTTGCTATGTAGTACAAGCTGCCCTGAACTCACTGTGTAGCCCATGCTGGTCTCAAACTTGTGGCAATCCTCCTGCCTCAGCCTCCCAAGTACTGGGATTGCAAGCATGCAGCACCAGGCCTGGAGGAAACAGTCTTTCAATTGAATAAACCATGCAAAACCAAAACCCCTCATATGATACAGGGAAGTCCATAGCAAAGAGGGAATTCTCCCAGTCCCTGCCAGCAGCAAGGGTAGAGCACAAATAGATTGAAGATTTTCTCTGGAAGGAGTGAACTTCCTTTTCCTGTTAATGTCAAATTCCTGGTTCAGTTTTTACCATTACTTCAAGTATAAAAGTAAAGGGAGGGCTGGGGATGTAGCTCAGTGCAAAGGCCCTGGGTTCAATCCCCAGTGGGCAACCTCCTAAAAAAAGAAAGATTGAGAAACACAATCTGTGATAGAGACGTTCCTTTTTCTTTTTCTTTTCCTTTTTTTTTTTTTTTTTTTTTTTGGTACGAGGGATCGAACTCCAGTCCTTGCACTTATGAAGCAGGTGGCAGAACCACTGAGCTAAATCCCCAGCCCTTTTTTCTTTCTTCTTCTTCTTCCTCCTCCTCTTCCTCTTCTCCTTCTTCTTCTTTTTCTTGAGACAGTGTCTTGTCCAGGTTGGGTTCAAACTTGTGGTCCTCCTGCCTCAGCCTCTGGAGAATGCTGGGATTACAGGTTTGCACCACCCTCCCGCTTTGTTTCTCAATCCTAATATTTCTCTAATGTCTTTTTTTCTTCAGAGAAATCCTCCTCCTCCCACCTAAGCCCTGGAGTCCAGTGTCCACTGTCAGTCCCAGTGCATGGCACAGAGCAGTGACATGGCTTTATACCACCAGTGTCTTGGCACCAACCTGCGCTGTGCCCGTGGCTCCTCAGGCCGTCCTGTTAGAGTCCTGGCACCTGCAGGTGTTTACCTACGGTCTAAAGTCTGCTGCACTCGCCCTGGCCTTTTGGCCTTTTGGGTCTGTGGAAATCAGAGTCCTTTCCTGATAAGCCCGCACACATCCCTGTTGGCTTCTGGTAAAAACTGCCTTTCTGGCAGCCACTGTCACACAGCACCATCCAGCACTCCCTTGAATCCTTGGCTTTCATAGGACATCACCCTAAGATAGCGCTCCTGTCCTCAGGGTAAAACATGCTAAGTCTCTGGGTTTGATCCCCAGGAGAGACAGAGACAGAGGCAGGGACAGAGGCAGGGATAGAGGCAGGCTTTGGTCTGTGCGGCAGAGTGCTTGCCTGGCATGTGCAAGACCTAGGTTCCATCTCCAGCACCTTGAAAAGAAAATAAGTCTGGGCACAGTGCACGCCTGTAACCCCAGCACTTGGGAGGCTGAGGCAGGAGCATCATTGAGAGTTTGAGGCCACCCTGGGCTACAGAGTTCAAGGCCAGCCTTATCTCAAAACCAGTCAAACAAGCAAACAAACCAAAGAACCCAGCCAATTCTAACAGTGCAGTATTCAGCAATCTCTCCCGAAGAAAGCAGAAAAGCTGAATTCCCTCTTTTCCTGACACTTGAATCTGCGTTGCTAGGTGCCCTCCCCTTCCACTCCCTGCTCTGGACTCTGAGGTCCCAATGGGGAACAAAGTCAGTCAGCTGGAACTGAGTTATAAACAAGCTTTATTGTGTGTAAGCAGATAATGGACACTGAGGGTGATACAGCAAATAGAACCTCAAAGAAGAAACAAAAAGTCAAGGACTCCCTAGAGAATCTCAAGAGACAGGAATGGCCCCGGGTCTACCTGCAGCCCACACACGTGAATCACTAGCTCAATTCTGTGGCCCAAACGCGACCTCGCCAGGTATCCTGACCTATGAATTCTGTTTCCCTCACAGCCCCCGTCTCCTCTCCGTCATGGCGAAATGGTGGGACAGTGACAAGGAGCGGGCCCAGCGGCGCGGTCAGTCCTCACTGGGGGTGTCGTTCTCCTGCATGGTCTCCCTGATCCAGTCAACGTAGTTCTGTACCTTGGTGTAGACCCCGTAGGTCCCGCACTCGGGCCCCCAGGACACCAGGCCAACAACGTAGAATTTGGAGCTCTGGTCAATGAGCTTCCTGACGGCAAAAGCGCCCCCACTGTCTCCCTGACAGCTGTCCACGCCTGCTCCGCCAGCACAGAGCATGTTCTCAGTGAACACGAACGATCTGGGGTCCACTTGGGAATTTTTCACTTTCACCCTCTGGCACAAGTCTAAAGTAGTTATGGGTAACTTGGCCCCTCTGAGTTTCAAAACCCAGTCCTTTTTCTCCGTCTTGCCCCAGCCCGCGACCGTGCCCAGGTCCCCCACGGAGAAACTGTACTTGGAGGTGGTGCCGGGCAGGCAGATGGGGGATACAGTGGGGCCCATCTTCACCGGGTCTCTCAGCCGCACCAGCGCGATGTCGTTGTCAAAATTCTTGCGGGCGCCTTGGGCGGGCGCCGGTTGCCAGCCCGGGTGAATGAACACGCGGTCGGCGGCGAGCGTCTGGGCCTGGTCCA